CTATTTAGCCCAACGTTAGAATATAACCTGTTCCGAAATGCTTTTTCCGATTTTCTTGCGTATATCGTTAAATAAAGTTACGAGTATATGTTAGTCAGAATTACTCTAGGAGCTATGTAATGCTTTTATAATTGTAAGGCTAATGGGTAGCAAAACATTTACTTCTTAGCTATTTAGTTTGAAATAGAGACTTAGATTTGATGTTATGTATAAATTGGGAAGTACGTGTATTTTCAGCCTACCCGAAATTATCAAGACATATCAACTATTACAAGGATGAAGTCTTTAAGGCGGTTGCTAAGAGATTGACGAATCTTTGGAAAAACATCTGCATTATAAGATCTTTCGTGTTTTACTGAGCCCTGATATGCGGTCCTGCAGAACCGATTCGTGAAGCCGGTCTTCGAAGCTCACTAATTAATAGTCGAATGCCTTGTTGTGCCCATGGACCCATTTCATCAGGAAATTCAGCTCTCAAGCGTTCGTAGAAGATCTGCGCATCATCAAACTTTTCTCGATCGATAGCTGAAATAACACTATGCAGCAGCAAGTACACCGGTGAGAATAATTCAAGAAAAAAAACTACCACAAGATTCGAATGGAACGAGTATCGGACCTAGGATAAAAGTCGAAAATCTGTACTAATCAACTATTACAAACCCAAAATCAAATATATTTTTCGAAAAAAAAAAAACATTGCCCATATGGGTCATTCGATTCGCGCCAGTTGGCACCATTTTGTCACACCTGTTTTCACGAAATTCAGTTTACCTCCACATGGGGTTATTTGGCGTCCTGATAACAATATAACGTTCGTTTTTGGTATGCAAATTATCTGCACTTCTGTGCTCCCTCACTTACAGTGCCTGAGGCTAAGCTCAAATGGTAAGTGAGATTCTGGGGTGGAAAACCACATACTGTGTCGCTAAAGTTGAAGTGTGTCAGATCGCGGGATGAGTGGCTTACTCACCTCGATATCATTCTCTCCCCAAATGCTTAGCCCTGATCGCAATCAAATCAGCGAAAGGGCACAGACGAGCAATGGCTAAATGGCTAAAGCGCCAAAATGAATATGATTCTTAAGCTGGACTCCAAATACCCCACCATACAAGTTTACACCAAATCTTGTGAAAACAAGTGCCATCAAAGTGATATCCGACTGGCGCCAGATTACGCCCCTGTCGAAAAAAAAGAATGCCATTTTTGTAATCAGGGCATCGAATTACCCGAATGACCCCTTCGACAAAAAAAATTATGAGATTTTCGGTTGTGAGAGTTGAATAGAGCTCAAAATTCAATCAAAGAGGTAATTACTTACAATCAACAACGTAGTTGAGGCTTTTCAGGCATCGCTCTGAAATCCGCCCTTTATCGATCGCATCTTTTAATTCGGATATTCGTAATTGAACGCCTCGATATATATTCTGAAAAGTCCAATCGCTAATCGAAAAATCCGCCAAATCCGATCATCGATATGAATAAGTATCAGGTGGAAAAAACTACAAAAAAAAAACAGGTGAAAATATAAAATACATGTATCTCATACCGGTGAGAGCTTTTTGCTTGCTGTTGACAAACATAGTATCAGCTGGTGTGGACTCATGGATACGTCACCTGGAGCTTTGGCCAGCTGGCTGAAAATAATACTGTCATAAATAGAACTGAATGTTCCACCTTTTTTGATTTTTTTAAAATCAACACGTGGCGAAAAGCAGCACAAGCATGCTGAGTATGGACA